TTTTTTTTTAGAGACAGGGTCTTGCTATCTTGCCCAGGCTGGAGTGCAGTGGCTATTCACAGGCCCGATCCCACTACTGATCAGCATGGGAGTTTTGACCTGCTCTGTTTCCAACCTGGGCCAGTTCACCCCTCCTTAGGCAACCTGGTGGTCCCCCGCTCCCGGGAGGTCACCATATTGATGCCAAATTTGATGTGGACACCCAATCGGCATAGTGCAATACAGCCCAGAACTCTTGGGCTCAAGCAATCTCCAGCCTCAGTCTCCTGAGTAGCTGGGACTACAGGCACACTGCCACCACGTCCGGTGGGAAAGAAGCTTTCTGCGAGCGTGTTCCAGACCCTGGATAGAGGGAAACAAATCAGTCTCAGCCTGACTCAGGACCCTGCTTTACAAACCTCATTCCCACCTTCAAGTCACAGCATTTCACAGCCCCAGATAACACTCCACAGATTGTGTTAGAATTTTATTCATTCTCCCCTGCATCCACAGCTCGGTAACTACACGAGAGGAGGAAAGAGGGAGGGCACCGATTTGAGTGGTAGAAACGGTGTGTCGAAGCTTCCCTCTCGCCTTTGCTACTCTTAGAAGAGGCCTGGGGGCCACCAGCACGTGCCCCAGCGAATGCTGCTGGGCTCTGGTTCCACATGTCTGGTCAGGCCACGGGGTGGGGCCATAGCACAGCCTGTGGCCTTGACCCAGTGGGTTTGGCCTGTTTGAGGCCATCGTTGGAGGGTTCAGGCAGGCAGAACTCTCCATTCCTGGGAGACAGTTCTGGAGACCGGCTGTGCTGCTCCGCCGAGTGCCCATCCCTGGATCCAGTTCTCTTCGAGGAAGGAAATCTGCCACTGTTTTGTTGAACTTCCCAAGGGCTCCCATCACTAATAATTCTGGGAATTCCACAAAGCACCCCTTTGCAAGCTGTGCCCGTGCCTTTGGCTGGCATTCTCGGGATCTGCCTTCCTTCACCAGGTAGCTGCGTTGGCAGACAGCCGTGTCCTCATTTCTGCTAAGGATTTGCCTGGTCTTTTTCTGGAGTTATACTCTATCTCTACCTACCTCTTCCTATGCGGCCAGCCCCTGTATGCGTCTCCCCTTTGCTGGTGGCCCCAGGCCACGGTCTAGCCAGTGCTGTGCAGTGGAACTTTGTGCAGCGATGGTCATGTCTATTCTGCACTGACCCATGTGGCAGCCATTAGTCATGTGTGGCCACTGGGCATTTGGAATGTGGCTGGTGCAACTGAGGAACTGAATTGTTCATTTTATTTGATTTCAATTCCGTGTCATGCAGTGCGTGGCCACCAGATTGAACAAGGTCAGATCTGTCTCCCCTTTCTTCCCACTTTCCTCTTTGGCCTGGGTTGGACCGCTTTTGCCCAGGCTTGTCCTGTACCTCTCTCTGTTGACAGTGGCTTCCAAAGAGGCTGACGCAGGGCACTCATCTCTTCTGCCTAATCCGTGTCCTCCTACTCCCTGACCTGACCCCGTGCCACCTTCTGGCTCTGCCGGACTCTATCTGGTTCCTGTGGTTGCAGCACATGGCCTCCCTTTCCTGGCATAGCCAGCTTCCTTCAGGGGTCCTGCCAGGAAGTGCCCCTCCCATCATTCCCAGCTTGCCTCTGTCCTTCCACTCTGGGGTGCCTGGGAGGACTGTTCAGGACCCAGAGGGCAGGCAGAGCCCTGGATTCCTATTCTGGAATCCTGCACCAGGATGGAGGAGCTCTGCCTGCCTGAATCCTCCAATGATGGGCCTGGAGTTCTGTCCCTGCCCTTTCCTTAATCCACAATTGGGTCCTCAGGCTCCAGCTCTTCCAGTCACCCCAGCCTTGCCCACCCTTGCCCCATTCAGAAACTAGGTTCACTGGGAAACTGCTCCCTCAGCACCTGTAGAACTTCTTCAAGAAGTGAAATCCCCAGGTCCACTTTGAAGGTGAGGAAGGGATCACTGAGGTCCGGGACAGGTGTCCTCTGGAAGCAGGGAGTGTCCACAAGGCCGTCCTCTGAGTGCTGGTGGAGGGCGCTCGCTAGAGAGAGCGCTGATGGCAGGGTGGCCGAGTAGGCCGCTGTGTAGGCAGGTGGGGGCTCCAGGATGTTAGGACAGCTTGAGCTCTCTCGGTAGAGGCGTGGGGGCTTGGGTGGGGCCAGCAGCGTGGCCCGGGGCTGCTCGTCACCCCACAGTGGCAGACGCCGGCCATCTGGCCTCCCTTGGAGCTCCCGGATGACTTCTCGGTTGCTATACTCCTCGTGGTCCCCACCCGCCGTGCTGGCCTGGCTAAGCACACTGCCCTGTCGCCGGAGCCGCCGTGGCCTCCCCAGGCTCAGCCGCTTGAAGAAGGAGGTATTGCGGAAGGAGCCTTTCCGCCAGGTTTCCATGGGGCCCAGGGCAGCCAGCAGATAGGCATTCAGGAGCACCCAGGATAGCATGCAGTCCCTTCCGGGGCAGTGAGTGCCAGCAGTCGGAGAGGCTCCCCTACAAGCAGAGGCCTCGGGGTTTCTGCTTAGCAAAGACCTTTGGTTGCATCTTGGTTGGTGAGAGGAGGGCTCAGGAAGAAGGAGCTTTTTTGTCCAGGAGGGCAGAGAGCTGGGAGTTCCTGACAGCAAGAGTTTCCCACAGGGACAGGAGTGGCCTGGTTACTGGATAGGGCAGTGGAAAAAACCCCAGGAGGAAGAAGCAGCACTTACTGGAGCCTGAGTGAGGGCAGCCCCGGTGGAGGCAGAGATAGACGCTCTTGGGCTGGGCGAGGCTGGTGAGCGCTCCTTTCACAGGCAGGCAGCAGATGGCCCGAGCTCACTCGCCCTGGCGTTTGCTTGGCTCCTCTGCTCTCTGGGGCAGTGTGGGGCCGTGCCCTCTCTGCCGGCAGCTCCTGGACTCTGATGAGTGGCTTGGCTGTTTGTGGCAGTGTCTGGTGGTGGAGATGTGTTTTTGTTCTCAGCTGACTCAGTCAGGTAGGAAGCTGGGTTTCGTGCTCCTGGGTAATTGCAGCATCCGCATGCAGGGATGGGGCAGCTGTGACCAACACCCCAGGGCAATGGAGAGCTTAAGATTCCTTTGTGGGGGCAGCCCTGCATTATGTGCCACCTCACGGCTTCCTTTCTCATCACATCCCCACCACCCCGGGCCCCAGCAGGTGGGCCTGGCTCCTGGCCCACAGTGTCTGGGTGGGAGTGAGGGAGGTGTAGTTAATTGAAAGGCAGTCTTGTGGAGCGACTATGGGGAAGGAAGAGACCTGTAGCTGGTATGGGTGACTCAGCCCCGCTGTCAGGCCCTCATGAGCAGAACCTGCACGATGAGGGAAGGAGGCAGAGGGCGTGTTAATGGGGAGCAGCCCATGCCTATGACGGGCTCTGCCGCAGAGGGTTGGGCTGGGGGCCTGCCAAGGGTGGCTCCAAGTGTTCTTGGCAGAGCAACATTAACCCGGGGACGGGAGACGTGGCCTCCGCTTGGCTGCTGTTTTCTCATCCTCCCTTGTTTTGCCCTAGTGGCCTCCTGGCAGGAGAGCGACAGCTGAGGGCTGTGCTGCCTCCTACCTGGCTATGCTCCAGCCCCTCCCCTCTGGCTACTGGGCCTCCTCTGGGGTCCTCCTTCTCTTGCAGGGCTGGGTCAGAGGCGGCTGTGAATTGTCAGCTGTGCTCTGGGCCAGGCTTAGCCGTTCAGCCTGGAGGGGACTGCTGCAGCCAGGGAGAGGGGAGACGTGCAGCTGTCGGGAGGAGCAGGGGAACTCAGGCTGAGTAATACTTCCTGTTTCTGTACACCCCTTACCCCAAACCTGCTGGCCAGGGCCTGGCAAATCTCAATCCCAGCCGCTCCCTGCCTATTCCCCGGGTCACTGACCACCAGAGTTTCCTCCTGCCTGGTTCCGTAAGAGCGCCCCTGTGCAGCGTAGCTTGGATCAGGGCCCCACAGCTCTCTGCTACGGGCAGGCCACTGCATCTTGCAACCCCTGGCCTGGCTCATTTCTGTGCCAAGTCAGGCGGGCTTCACACTTCTCTGTGAAACTGTTGGGATCACATGATCATCACACAGCCTAAAGGTTGCTGAGGGAGGCAGGGGTTTAATTCCCACCACAGACCTTGTCGGGGCATGGGTTGCCTGCTTAGGCCCCTCTGCAGAGCTGCTTCTCCACCCTCCAGCCATGGCCCATTGAGGCATTTGTTTATTATTCTTTTGATTATTTAAATACAGCATTCCTTAATCTCTGCACTGTGCTGGCAAGTTCATAAAAGCTTTGAGCCATGGGCCCTGCCCTCCAGGAGCCCTTGTGTGTATTTTTAGAGGCATGGTGGCCTCTCTTTCTAGGGTGGGGCATTCCACGCTGTCTCCAGCAGGGCTCCCTTCTGCATCCTCAGCAGGAGCCGGACCGCAGGGCACCAGGCATGAACAGTGCCAGGCTGCGTGCCCAGCAGAGCCAAGTGCATCCCTGCACCTCAGACAGCTTCCCTTCCTTGGGAGCCTGAGAGAGGCAGACGCCATGGCATAGAGGGAAGAAGTGAAGGATAAAGGGCTCAGAGGAAATGAGGGGGAACGAGGGCCTGGCTAGAGGGTCCGCAGGTGATTCCTGAGGACGGACTGGAGATGGCGGAGCTGACAAGGCCTGGGGAAAGGGAGGAGAGCTGGCTGGGGAGCAGCCAGCTGGGGGCCAAAGGTGGCTTGTTCTGGAGGACACAGGATTCCAGAAGGATGTTCTGGGTTCCTTCCCTTCCTCTGCCCTCCTCCCTCCAAGACTCTTAGACCACAGCTTTGCCTCAGCACCATCCTCAGAGTCTAGAGTCTGTGGGGCTGTGCCCTGCTGTCCCTGACCCCTCCTGTCCCTGCTCTGTCTGCCAGGGCTCAGTGGTGTCGGACAGGGACTATGAGAGCCTCGTCATGATGCGCATGCGCCAGGCTGCTGAGCGGCAACAGCTGATCGCACGGATGCAGCGGGAAGACCAGGAGGGGCCGCCCACGTAGCCCCGGCTCTTGCCACCCGCCCACCAGCCCTTTTCTTCAATGTCACCAATAAAAGTTTTTTGTTTTTTTTTTTAAAGACTCTACCTCTATTCCATACATAGGTATAGGGTGCTGGGCTCTGCCACAGAGGGCTCCACCCAGGCAACCCTCCCAGGAAGTGGGCAGACCCCCAGGGAAACACTCCACACGGTAAGAGTCCGAGAGTCTGTGCACAAGCAGAGCACAGGCGCAAACACTCATCACAGTCCTTTATTGGCTTGGGCTAGCTATGCAGGAGCCACACGCCAGGGGCCCTGGGGTGCCCAGCTCCGGCCCAGGAAGCTGCCCGAGGACATGGCCTACCCAGTGCCCTCCGCTCAGGCCCGAAGCAGCAGGGCAGCTGGGAGCACCAGGGCAACGGACCCTGGCCTCTCCCACTGTTTGAGGCAGGGTTTCATAGAAGGCCATTCACTGCCCCTTGAGGCTGGGCAGATGGCAGTGACGATTTGGGAAGACAGGGGCAAGGCAGTTGGTGAGGCCGGAGCTTGGAGGTCAGGGCCCACAGCAGCCCATCCACAGGGGCGCCCCGGCTGCAGATCAGCGTGAGAAGGTCACTCCTTGTGCAGGCACCACACCAGCGTCTGGCCCACCCCCGTCATGCTCAGCACACGGAAGCCCCTGCGTTCCAGCTTGTCCAGGACTATGCGGGGAGGGTCATTGACATAGTATTCATAACTGCAAAGAGACAGGTGGGCAGGGTGAGGGGGCACACAGCAAGCTCCTGGTACAAAGCTAGTGTGAGCTGCAGGTGGCCCGGCCGCTCTGGCAGCGATTCGCTAGCTGGCTGCTTGCTGGATGCCAGGGCAAGTGCACAGCCTGACCTCCTCCACTGCTAGGTACTTCACAACAAGCTAGTGAAGGTGCCACTGTTGTGGCCATTGGTACGTGAGAAAACGGAGTGGTTAAGCAGGTTCCCCAGTGTCCCAGATGGTAGACACGTGTTAGCTTGGCAACCGCCCTGCACACTCAGCGGGTCCAGAGTACTGCCTGCCCTTCTGGGCTTGCTCCCCACCCAGGCCTCCAGGCCCCTCACTACCCTGATGTCCTGTAGTTCTGGAGTAAGGAGCCTGAGCCCCAGCTGCTCCTGGCCCTGTGTGCCACTCCCTAGTGTGGAGAATACTGGTAGTCCTTCTTTCAGGTTTAATTGATGCTGAAGGACCATGAAGCAGACAGAGGACTCAAGGCCCAAGCTGGGCATGGAGAGGCAAGTGCCTCATGGCAAAGGGAGGGGGCTGCCTTCTGCCCCTGAGCGTTGACCCAGGGACTGGGATAAGCCCGCCTTCTCTTTCCCCACTTTGAACTGGGACTCACTCTTGCAACTCTTCCCGGAGAACCTGTGTAGCCTGGGTTCTCCCTACGTCCAGGGGTGAGAAGACAAATGGAAGCAGTGGTCACAGTTTAGACATGGAGACATTACAAAGGAAGCCAAGGGAAGTGGCCAAGTCCCCAGGCAGCAGCCACCCTGGAGACACGACCCAGGCTCCCTGCTCCCTGTTTCTAGGGCTTAGCTTTGTGACTCAGCCAGATCCTCACGACAAAATCCTTTCTCTGTGTGCCTGTCTGTGCTTGATGGGGTCCAGCTTAGAGAGGAGAGGGCAGGGCAAGGAACAGTCCATTAGTGGAGTCCTAGACCCAGGGAACAGACTGTTTCTGCAGTTCCAGTAAGGATGTGGAAAGCTTTCAGAGCAAGCCTCATGAGGGAGAGGGTGGTGTTGGAGATGCTACAGATAGGACCAGCTCCTCCGGAGGACAGAGCTCCAGGATGCAGGCAGCGGGGTTCTGATGCTGGGGCCTGTCCCTGGGCTTGGAGGTTTCATAAAGGGAGCAGGTCTAGGGGCTGGCAGGGAGAGGATACTGAGTGAGGCTGCTACTTACAAGTTGTTTCCTAGGACACTTCTCTTTGAAGCCCCCAGATGCTGCATCAGCTCTGGATCCGACTGTTCATCACCCACCATAGTGGGGCCCACCTCCTGCAAGGTAAGCCACAAGGTTGCTTGGCTGGCTGCCAGGAGGAGGTGGAAGGTCTTGCCTCTCCTTCCTCTTCTGCCTGCTAGCCCTGAGAGCCTCACATAAAGGCTGGAGAGAGTAGTGAGGATTCGTAGGGGCCAGACATAAATTGTGAAGGGGTGGAGCCCATCAGTGATCAGGAGGAGCAACGTAGGGGCCTCTCTAGATCCTTAAAGCTCAGCTTTAGCCAGGCAAAGTGGCTCGAGCCTATAGTCCCAGCTACTCAGGAGGCTGAGGTGGGAGGATCGTCTGAGCCCCGGAGGTTGAGGTTGCAGTGAGCCATGATAGCGCCACTGCACTCCAGCCTGGGCCTATTTCAAAACAAAACAGAACAAATAAACATCATGTAAATGAAAGAAGCCAGACACAGATCACATTACCACAGAAAGGGGATTAGTGGTTGTCTAGAGCTAAGGGACTTGGAGAAAATCACGAGTGTCTGTGAGGGGGTACAGGCTTTCCTTTTTTTTTTTTTTTTGAGTCGGAGTTTGTTTCACTCTTGTTACCCAGGCTGGAGTGCAATGGCGCAATCTCGGCTCACCGCAACCTCCGCCTCCTGGGTTCAGGCAATTCTCCTGCCTCAGCCTCCTGAGTCGCTGGGATTACAGGCACACGCCACCATGCCCAGCTAATTTTTTGTAGTTTTAGTAGAGACGGGGTTTCACCATGTTGACCAGGATGGTCTCGATCTCTTGACCTTGTGATCCACCCGCCTCGGCCTCCCAAAGTGCTGGGATTACAAGCGTGAGCCACCGCGCCCGGCCAGGCTTTCCTTTTGGGGTATTAGAAATGTTCTAAAACTCATGGTGATGGTTGCACAACTCTGAGTACTCTAAAAAACAACACTGAGCTGTACACTTTAAATCAATGAATTTATGGTATGCACATTACATATCAATAAAGCCATATCTTTTAAAAAATAAGAATCACTTGGGGGGGGCATTTCCAAGTATGAATTCCCAAGCCCCATACATAGCATTTTGGGAGGTCTGAAAAGGGACCCAGCAATCCACATTTTGACAACTGCACAGATGACTGCTTCACAAACCGATGCCCAGGGCTCTGCTAGAGCGTTCTCGTCGCTGGTGAACCCACCAGGGGGGCTGTGTGCCCTCTGCTGGCTCACCATGGCACTGGACAGTGGGCAGGGGCAGAGGAGCACCTTGCTGCCCATATGGGCGGCAGAGTAATGTCTTTTGAAGTTAAAAGGGGACTCCTGGAGGGCAATCAGAACCTTTTTACAGATAAGGAAACTGCACCCACAGAAAGAAAGGTGACTTCTGACTCACGGTGTTCCCACCTCTAACTGCACCAACCCCTTCTCACCTGCCTTCCTTTCTTCCCAAGCAGGGAGTTTTCTTTTCTTCCTTCCCTAAAGCTTCAGGGACAGCCCTTCCTGGCCGTGCCTAAGGGTGCAGCTAGTGGCTGTGTATGGGTCAAGGACTTGGCACAGGGGTTTTAGCGCCTTGGCACGTCCTTATCTTTTCCAAACCTCTTTCCCTCAGGTTATTTCACTTTTTTTCCCATATGTAGCAGCTCCGTGCAAGGCACTGGGCTCCCTGGGTCCCTCCTGCCGACAGGTAGAATAGGAGCCAGAAGTGCCCGCAGGTCGCTCTCTCACCGGGGCTCACGTACCGGGTCCCCTTCGCGGCCACAGAGGCTCTGGGCGGGCCAGAGCTCGCTGAGTCCTGGGAGTCGGGCTGAGCCCGCTTCCCCACTCCCTCTCCCGGGCCGAGGGGGCGTGGCCGGGCGGGTTCGCGGTCCAGCCCCAGGTGGGCACAGCCCAGGAGGGAGGCGTGCAGGCGCGGTCGCAGCCCCTAGGGCCTGGTCCCGGCTCCAAGTCGCCGGGCGGCCAGTACTCACCATGCGGATCTGGGTGCTGATGAGGAGGTAAGGCATGGTGCGCGCGTCCCGGCCAGGCTCCCACCAGGTGGCTCTCTGCTGGGCACCGACTCCAGCCCTGCTCTCGTCGGGACTGCGACGCGCCGCTGGGAGTCCCGTTACTCTGGCTCTTGCCACAGGCGGCGTCAATCCCCGGGCGCCTGGCCCGTGACTGCCGCGGCCGCCAATCAGGAGCGGCTGCCGTGACGCGCCCTGCAGTCTGCTGCTCGGGGCCCGCCCCCGCCCTCCCCGCGGCGGACTTGGACCCCGGGGCCCACCTGAGGCTTCCGCCGAGTGGTCCAGTCGCGGAAAGGTAGGGTGTGGGGAGGATGGGGATGGTCCCACGGCCTGGAGGCGGAGGTGGCCCAGCAGAGTCGACTGGCTGCGCCCAGAGCGCGTGTTGCCCCTGCGCCCCTGCTTGCAACACTGCAGGTCAGGTTCCAAAGTCCCCGCCAGGCAGAGCCCAGAGCAAACGGCGTCCTCGCGGAAGCCTCCCCAGGCCCCAGCCCACCCCTCCGAGACGCCTCAACACCTTCAGCGGGGCCCGACTTCCCCTCGCCACGACACGCAATGCAGAGAATCCTTAAGCGCTGAGGAGGCCGGGGCAGGAGGCTCGGCGCGCGCCCTGAAGGCTACAACTAAAATACCACCGGGCGCAGTGCGCATTCCCGCCTCCCAGACTCTGATTCCAGTACAGCGGCAGATCCTTGCATTTCTGCAGACCGACAGGAAAATCTATCAAGGAACTTCACCCTTGGCTGGGTGCCAGGTCTGGAGTGACGGAATGGTTGGAACCTGGCCCTCCCTACCCGGAGCTTCCCGCGCAGCTGGACAGACGCTGCGCACGCGCAGGAGGTCACTGGGCAACACCTGAAGCTAATGAAACAACTTCCCCGGCACCAGCCACCAGTGAGCCGGCTGCGAGTTTCCAACCGTGCGTCCACGCCCTCATTCGCAGGTATCAAAATCTAAAAACTCATCATTCTTTATCTGCCTTGTTGTGATTGGTTCTCTAGAAAACAAAACAAAACAAAAACAGCCTGTATGTAGCTGTAGCCTTCCCTCCCGTGGGATGATAAAAATCTTCGCTTTTTAACAGGGAGGCGGTCATTTATAGGGGATACTGCTCTTGGAACACTTTGAAGACGT